AAGATAATTTGGAAAGTTGAACGCTCTTGTTACTGGTTTTGTTTATTACACAATCTGCCTCAAATGTGGCCATTCATTTGCAGTGCTAGCCAGCATATATGTAATTTTGCTTAATTCTGTACTTCATAAATAGGTACAGAACTGCTACAGTAAATAGTCGATTACTGAGCTCTCATTGGTGTTTAAGGCGATTTTACAAACTCAAATTGCATTATTTTCAGTAAATAAATGTTGCACAACATTGCAAAGCTTCAGTTCAGGACGAGAATATTATAACGTGTTTAGATGATCATTCACAATAACGTAGCGGAAGAAGGATGCCCAAACGACACATCAGAAAATGAAGAGACGACGACGACGACGTTTCAGTCCATCCTGGACCATTCTCAAGTCGATTGTGAGAATGGTCGACTTGAGAATGGTCCAGGATGGACCGAAACGTTGTCGTCCCTTCATTTTCTAGTGTGTGGATTGGACAACATACTTCAGCCACGTTATTGTGATTGATTGATGCAGGCGATTGTCATCGCCTGCATCAAGTTGTGTGTTAGAGTGAGAGGAAGGAACGGGCCAATAAATACGGACCACGGGCCAACGTGTTCCAATAGGCAAATAGCATTTAAAGAGTTCAACGTAACTTACTCTGAAACTTCAGGAATCCGTCAATATGGGACACACTATACCTTGAGGTTACCTTGAGGTGCTTCCGGGACTTAGCGTCCCCGCGGCCCGGTCGTCGACCAGGCCTCCTGGTTGCTGGACTGATCAACCAGGCTGTTGGACGCGGCTGCTCGCAGCCTGACGTATGAGTCACAGCCTTACAATCTTAAAGATAATATTAAGTGAATTAGACGCATCAGTTTTTGAAGAGTTGCCAGATAAGACAGTATCTCCAGCTCGTCCTCCTGTTTCCCAACGTCAATAAAACGGTCAATTTAAAGTGTCCTCTCCTAACCTACCAGAGGACCCAAACCAGAAAACGGGACAGTACGTCACTTTCGCCAGCCGCTTCCATTTTCTAGTACGACATTTTTTTGGCCTTATGTAACGCATACGAGCGAAATGCGACATTCTTTGTACGAAGACAGGTTGTATACGAGGGTACGTTCGCCTCTGAAACATCACAATGGTAAATTATACCTTAATTAGTCGTGGTAATCATCATTTGGTTTAATGCAGCAACTTTTGTCTGTTTGTTTAGTCAATGAGATTTTAATCGGACATTCTTCTAGTATTCTCTTTGTTATGACTAATGTAATAACTACATTGATGCCTACTCTGGGTCTGTTAAAGGCTATTTCTACAGGCATGTCAACATATAAGGATTTGAGATGCCAAAATGTTTTGGTGTTCAAAGGAATATAACATGAAATTTACTTTATTTAACACCAAAAACATTTATTCCATTGCTACTATTTCCATCAGTGCTACTACTATGAGCATTCAGTATTAGGAGCGCACTCTGCGAGTCACATTATATTATTCCACTGCCTCTGTCTTTTAAAAAATCAGTGGCAAGGTATATGCCTGCAAGTTGATTTTAAGTTGTACTGACTCAGTCATTGGCTCGCTTCATTGCTGCATGAACGAGAGATGAGTGTTTAAATACATTATAATTATTTGTATTCATATTATAATCATTATTCATTATGATATGTATTATTATTACATATGCATCCGGTACATACGTCTGTTGAGCCGTCAGTAAAGCACTGATACACGTTCTTACCCATAGTTTGAGCATTTTCATTGATGCTTTACTTGTTACCTGCATTAATAACGAAGCGAGTACATTATCTTTCTTTAGTGTATTTACGAAATCTGGTCAGAGACCGGGCCATATGGACGCTGATCCTCGGAACCAACGCAAAGTATATATCCCAATCCTCCCAAGTGTCTAATCTTTGTGCTTTTACGTCCATTAATCAATTCATAATAATTTTATGCTTCTCAACTAGACAAGTAACCTTTTATATATCTAACTAATTTAGCCTGTACTCCTAGATCAACAACTTATTCTAGTATGATTTCCCTGTTTACAATGTCAAAGTTTCCTGCTAGATCTATTCAGACTGGACGAGGGAAAGTTGAAATATGAGGAGGAAGAGGAATTATCAAGGGGAAAGCGCCAAGCCATTACGACTAAATAGCACTGGGAAGGAGTCAGGATAAGGATTTGGGATGGGACGGGGGAAAAGGAATGGTGACCAACCACTTGGTGGACGGTCGGGGATTGAACGCCGACCTGCATGAAGCGAGACCGTCGCTCTACCGTCCATATGAGCAAAGTATTCAGCAATACTGTGTTGTGTACCGAGTACCAGCATGACTTTGACTAGTTGGGTGATATTTGACCCCGCATACGACACATGAGTGTGTTAAAAACAATGAATTGAAGCAAGATTCATATTCAAAATTTTAAATATATGGGTCTATGAGAATCTGAATGTAGTTTGAGGATGGAACAATGATACTTTGAACTATCAGAAATCATCTATCAGTATAATGATACTATCAGAAAATAGCCTTACAGTTATACTCATTTCATACAACACAAACGTTAGTTACCTGTTAGCCTCGAGAATAATCTAACCGAGATTAGTAAGCAGGTTAAGATAAGTTAGATTAAGCTTCAGGTAATCCTGCTTTCGCCAGCAATTTCCTTACGTTAGTGCATGATTAATTTTCCATTCAATTATATCATTAAGATCAGACACGTCAGTAGCTGACATGAAACATTGATAGTACAATGCCTGTTAGGAAACGTTCTGTATGTAAAACCAATTGATCATGGTGAGTGTTTGACTCCTGTAGAGACAGTGGTGTAATGGATGAGTCGGTCTGTCTACACCAATACTTAGATCAGGACTCCTGTCTACACATATTTCTAGGCCAGGATGCTTCTGAACCTATATGGAGGCCAGGATGCCTGTCTACACTTCTACCCAGGCCAGGATGTGTCTACATCTACACCCAAGCGATAACTTTCTCATACAGGAAGGTCGGAACACCTTTCTACACCTAAGCCAGGACACCTCCAGGTAAGCCGTTGATATCCCGAAACGATGAGGAGGGAGATCAGACCTTACCACTCAGACCTCTTTGGCACGCGCCTCTTCCTGCTACCTCTCCTCTTCTCTCCTCCATCCCCTCCCACTGCTCTTCCTGAGCCATCGCCTCCTCCTCCCTCTCCCAACCCCAACACACCTCTCCTTCTGCTGCCCCTCCATCTCCTTCACCTTTCCTCTCTCTCTCGACACTATATATCACTGTTTTCCTTCTCTTCTGCTACGGTCTTTCACCAAATTAGTGAGAGGTTTGTATATCAGGTTATAGACACTGAGTTTAATTTGTTAGATGATAGGGGAAATACTCACCTAGTTGTGCTTGCGGGGGTTGAGCTCTGGCTCTTTGGTCCCGCCTCTCAACTGTCAATCAACTGGTGTACAGGTTCCTGAGCCTACTTGGCTCTATCATATCTACATTTGAAACTGTGTATGGAGTCAGCCTCCACCACACCACTGACTAATGCATTCCATCTGTTAACTACTCTGACTCTGAAAAAGTTTTTTCTAACGTCCTTGTGGCTCATTTGGGTAATCAGTTTCCTCCTGTGTCCCCTTGTTCGCGTACCACCCGTGTTAAATAGTTTATCTTTATCTATTCTGTCAATTCCTCTGATAATTTTGTAGGTAGTGATCATGTCTCCCCTTACTTTTAAGTCTTCCAGTGTCGTGAGGTTCAGCTCCAGTAATCTTTCCTCGTAGCTCATACCTCTCAGCTCGAGGACTAGCTTGGTGGCATAACTCTGAACCTTTTCTAACTTCGTTTTGAGTTTGACTATATGTGGACTTCACGCTGGAGCCGCATATTCCAATATTGGTCTGACATATGAGGTATACGAGTAGTGTGTGTGTGTGTGTGTGTGTGTGTGTGTGTGTGTGTGTGTGTGTGTGTGTGTGTGTGTGTGTGTGTGTGTGTGTGTGTGTGTATTCACCTAGTTGTATTCATCTAGTTGCACTTGCGGGGGTTAAGCACTGCTCTTTAGGCATGCCTCTCAACTGTCCATCAATCAACTGTTACTAAGTACTATTACCCCCCCCACCCCCCCCCCTCCACACACACACAGGAAGCAGCCCGTAACAGCTGTCAAACTCCCAAGTACCTATTTACTTCTAGGTAACAGGAGCCCCAGGGTGAAAGAAACTCTGCCCCATCTGTTTCCGCCGGCGCCGGGAATCGAACCACAGGACTACGTATCCAGCGTGCTGTCAACTCAGCCACCAGCCCCCCTCCATGTGTGTGTGTGTGTGTGTGTGTGTGTGTGTGTGTGTGTGTGTGTGTGTGTGTGTGTGTGTGTGTGTGTGTGTGTGTGTGTGTGTGTGTGTGCCTTTGTGGCCCTGAACGCCCGCTATTCCAACCCAAGCTGTTGAGTCATGGTGGAGTATCATCTCCACCCTCCACCCATTTTATCTAAACAGCTTGCCTCTGGAGGCTTTGAAACATGCAGAATGGGCTCTAAAGGGCGCGCTAACGTGCCTAATAATTGCAGGAGAATAGGATGTAAGCACACACACACTCTGGTCAGCGGACGGTCACTCGGCCAGGTAGCCACACACACACACACACACACGCGCGCGCGCGCGCGCAGGAGGCGCTCCTTTCCACGGGTCCGCCTGTCTTTGAGTCGACGAAGGAACTGTATGGATTAACCTGGGTAAGGAGAAGTAGGACGAGAATAAGGAAGGTGGAGGAGGAGATAATGAGAGGAAGAAGGATGAGAGAGGAGGGGAGAAAAGAATAGAGGAAATTTTATCTCTATAGAAAGAAGAGGGGAAGCTAGAGGGAGAAAGGGGAGAAAGATGAGGAAGGCAAAAATAGGAAAATAATAGAAAGTAGGAGTCGAAGAAAAAAATGAAAAAATAGTTTGAGAAGAGGAATAAGAAAGGACGAGAAAAGATGAAGAGGCGGAGAACATAACTGAAGAGGAGTTGAAGAGGATGCTGGAAGAGGAGGGGGCGGTCGACAGGAAGGAGGAGGAGGAGGAGGAGGGCAGAAAGAGCACTCTACACCTTCAGCAGACGCATGAGAGAGCGCTCAAGGAGGAGAAGAGAGAAGAGATGAGAGGGAAGTCGCCCAAGAAGGAAGAGGAGGAGGAGGAGGAGGATCATCATGTACGAAGTGTCTGCAATTGACGGGAGGAGAAGGGGGGGGGGTGTACAGCAGGTGGATGAAGATGGAAGAAGACAAAGATGAAGGATGTCAACAAGTTATGTAGATTGAAAAGATGAAACCCGATTAAACTATGGAAGAAGATTACGAAAAGAGATGAGAAAGCGAATGAAACAGAGAGAGAATAGATGAAAAGGTGGTGGAAGAAGGACATGAGGAAGAGGAGGAGCAGGTGAATGTATAACAGATGGAGGGAGGAGAGGGTGAGAGGAGGTGGAAGAAATAGTGTGTTATGAGGTTTTCTGCCCTAGCAGGAAATGTCAGTCGGCACTCAGAATGTTGTCGTCAGCTCTGACATTTTCACTCCAGTCCTTATTGGCTGCAATTCAGCTAGTTTGAGGCTGAGAATTCGGCTGATCGATATGTGGATCAGCAGTCGACTCCTTACTTCTCCAGCGTGACTATATGTGGATCAGCAGTCGACTCCTTACTTCTCCAGCGTGACTATATGTGGATCAGCAGTCGACTCCTAACCTCTTCAGTATAACTATATGTGGATCAGCAGTCGACTCCTTACTTCTCTAATATAACTATATATGTGTATCAGCAGTCGACTCCTAACCTCTCCAGTATAACTATATGTGGATCAGCAGTCGACTCCTTACTTCTCCAGCGTGACTCATGACCACATTTCTGACTCTTCCACCGAGTCGATGAACACAATTATTTCGGTACTGTTGTTGAAGCATGGCACGATATTGTGTATTGTGTTGTTGTCTGTGTTTAGTATGAGGATGAAAATGACTAACAGGGGCGCTATCAGAAAAGGCAATGCCAGTTCGCAGGAAATAGGTGATGTACCTGACAATTAGAAAACAGCACACACCTAGTGTGAACTTCTTGCAACCAGACGAACCGTCCCCTCCCACCTCCCTTGAACAGTCAGAAGACAAAGCGTATATAGAAAAAGCCACACCCGTGTTGGTCAAGGAATTAACACGGAAATTCAACCAAGCTAACGTTATGCCGAGCCAATTAACGAGCACCTACGAACGGAAATGGGTTAAAAAAATAAAAAAAAGGGAAGAATAGGGAAGATTCACACTGCAGAGGAGAGTAGAGGGTGTATTGGCGTCCCTGTATGCAGGTTTATAACTACCGTATTGACAGCTCAATTCACGCATATGCTGTACAAGGGACGGTCTAATGGACTTGAAGTATGGAGGTGGGCGGCGACTACCATGGGTGTGCCTTGGTGGGCGGTGAGTACCATGGGTGCGCCCTGATGGGTGGGGGCAGCAAGAGGAGGATGATAGCTTGGAGATGTGAAGAGGGAACGGGAATGATTTAAGTGAGAAGTGAGGAATGGGATTAGAAGAAGAGGGATATAATTCGAAAGAGAAGGGACAAGAAGCACTGGAGATGTGTTGAGGAAAATGGTGAGGGGGAAGTAGAGAGGGAGAGGAAAGACAGTGATGGACGTTCAATGGACAGACAACCATATTGTTCATGTAATGTTCTTGTTCATTATATTTTCCTATGTTAGTTTTTCCTTAGTTTTTGCGTTGTAATCAAGTTTCAAATGTACTGATTTTTGTTCTCCAACTGATGAAAGTTTCAGGTCAAAATAACACAAACAAAAGAGAACATCAAAAGGTTCAATGAGCATTCGCAGCAGCTTTTGTTCGTTCACTTTATCTCATACTTTTGTCCATCAGATGCTTGCAGTTTCCATTATATTTACTTCTAAGATGTTGGTGAATTCTTCCACAGATCTACAACCCTATTACCAAAGCTGTGTTTCTCTATTTTTTGTTGTAAATCTAGACTCATCCAACTAGTTACCTACCTTTTTGTGTTCAAACTTAGGTTCTTATCTTCATTTCTTCAAATCCTTCTTATTAAAATGTTTTATTTTTCCATTTGTTCCTGTCAGTCATGTCCGCCCTTTACTCTTCACTTTTCTATAGACATAAATTGTAATTTTCTTAATTTTTTTTCGTGCAAAACGATTTCTAATTCCAGTGATTAACTTGTAACTCTTTTTAAGTATTCTTTCCAGATCATATACGTTGGTCGAAACTGTGGTGCATAGTTCATGCTGAGGGCTTATAAGAGTATACGATAAAGATTTATTTTATGATTGTTATTTCTATAAAACAATTTACACAGGTGGTTACAAGAGCAGACACCTGCTGACTCCTGTTGGCAGGCTTTCGTTAGTTAGTTAGCAGCTTTCACCCATCCCATAGCTCATGATAAACCTCACCCACTAGTTTTCCCAGGAATACGAGCCGTCAATCGTTTAATACCAGGAACCCAATCGCTGTTGGAGAAACAGAGGTGTGCAGTCAAGGATTGGCGCCTAGTCAATATAAATGCTTGTACCCTAATAGCCTTATAACAGAAACCGTTTTGGTTTCTTGGTTTAAGAAACCAAAACATATGGTGTTATGCTCACACCCTGTGTCATCAGGGTGTTATTCTTACACCTAGATCTAGGTGTTATCTGGGTCTTATCCTCACACCAAGATCTGGGTGTTATCTGGGTGTTATCCTGACTCTCAGATCTGGGTTTTATCGGGGTGTTACCCTGAAACCCACATTACTTAAACCTATAAATTTCCCCAGTTTAAATTTGAGTTTAATATTTGGTTGGTATATTTTCTTTACCAAGGGTTATAACCCTTGATTAAAATACACAGTTCAACAACGAACTGCCTTAAGGAATTATCCCCTTAAGTCAGTCCTCACTAACACTGTGTGTTCGTCAGAGATTATCCTGAACATTGAGTACATTTTCCTCCGTTATTCAGTATTCAACACTGTATCCAAACACGGGTATGTTGCAACAGTTCCGCTACTGGCCAAACACGGGTTTGTTTACACTGACAACAGTGCTAGTATGCCCTTCAGAATGAGTAAACGCACACACAGTATACACATGCAGGGGTAGGGGTTGAGTGTTGGAGACACTGACATGCCGAATCCCTTAATACACTGTTCAAAATTCACTATGCAAATGATGCATAACAGTGTACCGGTTTGTGCCAGCGACGTCGACACTAAAAGTGAGGTTCGCACTGTTGACGGTGCGCCATTGTGTGTCATTAACGAGACCACTGCATCCGCCACTAGCCGCTAGCACTTAACTAACGAACCCACTACTGACGGTGGGAGGGGGGCGTGGGGGGGGGGGGAAGAGAGAGAGAAATGGGGGGGGGGGAGATAGAAAGGAGGATGAGAGGAGAGTAAAAGATATTTAAACGGAGGGAAGGATGGAAATAAGACAATAGGGGGGAAACGAAAAGGGGAGAGAAGATGGAAGAGAAGAGAATGAGAAGGACGATAGATTTGCAATTATGGCATCATTCCATCAACCCCTACCTTCTTCCTCCTTCCCCTCTCCCTCTTCCTTTCACCACCAAACAAAATTGCACAAACAAGAAACATTGCAGGACTTTGCAAAAGGGTTCTGTGCTTGTGTTGGTGGGGATGGAAGACGTTAGTGTGTGGTGATGGTGAGTAGTGGTGGTGGTGGTGGTGGTGGTTGATGTTGGGGGGGGGGTTGGTAGTTATAGTGATAGGTAATGCTGATGGTGGGTGGTGATGGTGATGGGTAGCGATGGTGATGGGTGGGGATAGTGATAGTGGTTGGTAGTGGTAGTGATGGGGAGCAAGGTAAGATAATTATCAGGGTAAGTGCTGGTGGATAGTGAAGCTAACGGAGAGCAATAACTGTTAGTAGTTGTGGTGGAAAGTTAAAGTGGTGGGATATGCTAATGATGGCTTGTAGTAGTGGTAGATAGTGATACTAGTAGGTAGTAGTTGTAGTAGTAGTGGTGGGTAGTCGTAGTTGTGGATAGTGGTGGGAGGTAGTTGTACTGATAGTGGTGAATGATAAAAGCGGGGTGTAGTGCAAGGTAGTTGTAGTGGTAGGTAGTGGTGAAAAGTGACAGTAGTGGATAAAGTATTAGGTCCTGCTGCATGGGTGACAGCTTCTCCCCCGTATCAACCTACCCCTGGCTTTGAGCCCTGGAGAGGCCACTACAGACCAACAACCAGAGCGCAACTCCATAGTCTCCTGATACTGATTGATGCCTACTACTAGTAGTGGTAGGTAGTGATACTGATAAGTAGTGGTAGAAGTGAGTAGTACCAGTAATAGTAATAGTATTGAAGACAAAATTGTAGAAATTAACATCTACCATATGGTCTTCACTACTTACTTTACCATTACCCATCTAAACACCCAAGTTATGATATATATATATATATATATATATATATATATATATATATATATATATATATATATATATATATATATAATATTATAAATATATATATTTACCTTAAATTTGCGAATATTCCGTTTAAAATAATATAGAATTATGCAAGAATTCTTTTCTTGGCAGTGTCTTTACCCTCATAGATTCTTTTGACATTTTTTTATTTAACATTATACAGATTTTTATTTTATCGTCATGCTTATTTTTCTTTATTATAGTTTCATTATTCATTGTGCATATTATTATGCATTATATTTTTCTTTTTCATTATACTTTATCAGATAAATTTCAACTACAAAATAATTCATTTTATAATGACTAAGTTCCCTGATTTGTAGTTTAAAATTTGTAGTTTCATTGTTCGTGTTTGAGACACACAAAAATTTGTTTTATTATATATATATATATATATATATATATATATATATATATATTTATATATATATATATATATATATATATATATATATATATATATATATATATATATATATATATATATATATGTATATATATATGTGTGTGTGTATTACATTACATATCCTAGACCTAGGGAACACCTCTGTATATATGTATATTAACGTCAAAAATCAATATGTACTCCGCTGCACAAAATACAAGGTCAGGTTGTCTACCAAAAGAACTTGTTCAAGCATTTACTTCACATAAATTGTCTTGTGAACACTTACGATCGCTGGCAAGAAAATCAT